GGTAACGAAAATGATGTTGTACAAGCTGAAAATATTGAAAATGATGTCCAGGAGAACAATGATGGTGTTAGAGTTGAAGAATCATCAGAAGCGGGAGCYTATATGCGGATAGTTCGTGATCAAATTGRTGAGCAAATATMGTRCGAAAATCGACGTYGACKGCGTCGTCGTCATTAAATTAGATTTTATATTTTTGTTTTTTTATTATGAGATTTGTTTCTATGTTATTGAATAATTTAATATGGTTTAAAATAAATTAATTTTTATTTAAAGTTTTAACTTGTATTCTAGTAATGTTATTTTAAAAATTATTAAATATTTACCATTAATATTTTATTCAATTACTTTAATATTTTATTCAATTCCTCTCAATTACTCGTTTACCTACCATTCACAATAAAAAACAATTTCTCTTTCATATTCTTCTCAATTCTTCTATTTATCACTTTTCTTTTCTTCTTAATTACTTTTATCTCATTTCTTTTCATTTCTTCTTTGTAACACCAGTCATACTCTTCATTTCTTTTCTTCTACTAACGTCTTTCAGTCACAGCCAAGAGCAACGAAGAAGAAGAAAGTAAAACCGCCCTTGTGCGTAGGGGAATTGTGATATCTTTGATTATTTTATTTAAACAATAAAAGGAAATTTTAAACTTTTTTCAAAATGGGTATTTTATGAATTGGGCCTGATAAAAATGGAAATTCCTGCTTTTGAGCCCATTATAAGCCTTGTTCAGATTTCAATCGGCCACTGAATTTTTAATTTTTATTTTAGGGGTGTGTTTACTGTACTGTCACAGTACTACCGTGTAAATATAATAGAAATAAAAATGATAAATTTAGTTAGAATTGAGGATCCGTAGGCCTTTATAGGTCTAAGGAAATGAAAGAGGAGACAGCTAGAAAGAAAAAGAGATGTCTATTAGATTAGTAGCAATAGGTTTGAAATCATATGAAAGAGGAACATAGGATAAAAATGATGAAAGAATCTGATTAGAAAGACCAAATAGAAGAATATGTTATGTGACAAAGTAGAAAATAATTAAAATCATAACATATTGGTTACTTGGAATAATGATAGTATGGTGCGAAACTGAGATATATGCGGTATAGACTTGAATCCCACTCGAATTGATTAGAGTGAACGGTTAGATTGAATTTCAAGACACTAATTTTCCCACATCTACTCTTGCTAACTAAACTAAACAAAGATTATGTTTAAATTAGTGTCTGGTTAAAATATGTAAATCCATTATGTGGGTACCAAGAGTAGATACACGATCTAGTTAAAATATGTAAATCCATTATGATTAAACAATTATCAAGCAGCTGGACAAAAGATCAGACATTCCATTAAACAAATCGGATTTTGAAAACATTTAATTTGTTTATATCCGCATATGCGACTGTAAAGTCTGCAAATAAAAAAGCAGAGATCCAAATCTTGGTATCCATTTTCTTCAAAATTTCCCACTTTTCTTTATGCTTTTACGACATTTTTCCACCCTTGAGAATTTAAAATATTTTAATCTTTTTAATTTCAATTTTGATAAAAATATAAAAAAAATCTTTAATCATTTATACCCCACTGACCTCTCTGTCTCTCCGGAACAAAAGGTAATGGAGAAGCAAGACCTCGGGTCCCACACTCTTTCCGTATCAACCACTCGACAAACATCGCGTCTAATACACGCGCCTCGTGATTTTCACAGACACGCGCGTCAAAGCGCGTGGAGAAAACAAGATTATAGTCTTGTTCTTGTTTTCTCAGATGACCACCACAGTTATTACAGAACAAAAAAAAAACACAGTCAG